AATAACAAAAGTTTTATTACCTCTTTGTTCCTGGCGAAGGCGCAGATGAGGCGACCGGCGGCGGCGAACACCAACATCCGGTCGGCTGCCACGCAGCTGATGTCATCTGAAAGGCTGTTACCTAGGAAACCACCACATCCCATGAGAACACAGCAGCCAATCAGAGAGCAGAACACTCAGCAGCATCATCAGAGTGAATTATAAAGCTTTAAAGTACTCACTGACTGAGACGATCCCCAACCTGTTCACCTGTAATCAATACATCAGAGCATCAATACACTGATCAGTCTCTTCAGATGTCTGATATAATCTATACAACATAATCTATATCTATATAATATAATCTATACAACATAATCTATATCTATATAATATAATCTATACAACATAATCTATATCTATATAATATAATCTATAATCTATACAACATAATCTATATCTATATAATATAATCTATAATCTATATATAATCTATAAAACATAATCTATATCTATATAATATAATCTATAATCTATATATAATCTATAAAACATATTCTATATCTATATAGAATATAATATATGCAACATAATCTATAATCTATATATAATCTATACAACATAATCTATATATATTCTATCCAACATAAACTATATCTATATATAATATATTCTATACAACATAAACTATAATCTATATAATATAATCTATATCTATATATAATATATTCTATACAACATAAACTATAATCTATATAATATAATCTATATATAATATATTCTATGCAACATAAGTATATCTTTATATAATCTATACAACATATCTATAATATATATATATATATATATATATAATAGATATATATATATATATATATATATATATATATATATATATATAATCTATAAAACATAATCTATATATAATGTAATCTATTTAATCTGTACAACATAATCTATAATCTATATAATATAATCTATACAACATAATCTATAAATAATATAATCTATACAACATAATCTATATATATTATAATCCATAATCGATATATAATATAATCTATACAACATAATCTATATATATTATAATCCATAATCGATATATAATATAATCTATACAATATAATCTATTATATAGATTATAGATTATATTAGTTATTTCTTTCCCAATTAACTGGAATTAGTTTCACTATTATTAAACTTTGTAAAACAGATTCTGTATTATTAATCTACTTTATGTCATTTTCATGAAATGTGCTGGACAGATAGTTGGATTGATTGATTGATTGATTGATTGATTGATTGATTGATTGATGATGTTCCAAAAGCTGAATGATGTGAATGAACATTGAGGTGTTTCATTTGTTTTCTTCCTGTTACTTCTAGGCTGGATTAATCCAATAAGTCCATTAATGATCAGGTTGCCCCAATAAGTCCATTAATGATCAGGTTGCCCCAATAAGTCCATTAATGATCAGGTTGCCCCAATAAATCCATTAATGATCAGGTTGCCCCAATAAGTCCATTAATGATCAGGTTGCCCCAATAAATCCATTAATGATCAGGTTGCCCCAATAAATCCATTAAAACGCTCCAATTAATTCAGAACGCTGCAGCACGAGTACTGACAGGAACTAGAAAAAGAGATCACATCTCTCCTGTACTAGCTTCTCTGCATTGGCTCCCTATAAAATGTAGAATAGAATTTAAAATCCTCCTCCTCACCTATAAAGCTCTTCATGGTCAGGCCCCTTCATATCTTAAAGAGCTCATAGTACCCTATTACCCCACTAGAACACTACGTTCTCTGAATGCTGGGCTACTTGTGGTTCCTATAGTCTCTAAAAGTAGAACAGGAGCCAGAGCCTTCAGTTACCAAGCTCCTCTCCTGTGGAACCAGCTTCCAGTTGTGGTTCTGGAGGCAGACACCCTCACCACATTCAAGAGTAGGCTTAAGACATTCCTCTTTGATAAAGCTTATAGTTAGGGCTGGATCAGTCTCTGTCCGGATATAATGTCTGTGCTAATTGAATCAGTCTCACTTCCTGTTTGTACATTTAATTGATGCACACGATCAGCTGATATCGATCTGTTGACAGTGTGTACGGGAGCCGTCGGTGGACATATTTCAAATGAATGAAACATTAAATAAATAAAACACATTAAATATAAAATGTTCTTACGTTGTACGTGTGGAAACATTTCCCGACCGCCGTCACCAGGTAAAACTCCCGGTGCTTCTTGTGGTACCTGAGCGCGTGCGGCACGTGGTTGGAATAAAGTCCCAGAACCCGGAACCCGGAGAACAAAGAACTCCCGCCGCTCGGCATGACCGGTAAAAACGGAGGATTCTACCGGATAAAAGCCGAAAACTAACGAAGAAACAGACGAACCGGAGAGACGGAGCTGAACGGAGAGAGAGGACACATGGAGAGACGCCGAGGAACTGAGCCCGACCGGAAACAACGAACACCACAACGAAGGTTCCGCCCGAAGGACAAACTCCGGTTCCGACTGCGATTAAATAAAATAACAATTATAATAATGTCTGCTGGAAAATAATAAAATGCAATTGTGCATAATAAATAAAAGAGAACACAAATATATTATATAAAGATAATAAATCAAAAAAATAAAACTATAATAAGAAATATATTTAAAATAATTAGAAAATGCTGGAGAAACCATTTAGTAAAAAAAAAAGTTACAAACAAAACTAAATATTATATATTATATTAAATGAGTAAGTAAAACATTTAATCAATGTAAATTTGGATGTTTTTGTATTAATTTTTCATTTTAACTAAAATAGCAATAAATAGAAATACTTTAATAATCCCAGGGGGAAATTACTTTCGTTACATACTCAAGATGTAATAGACATATAGACATATAATATATTAAGAATATATATATATATATAAATATATAAAAAAAAATATATATATATATATATATATATATATATATATATATATATATATAATATATATATTAGGGTTAAAATGTACAGTTTAACATCACACTTTTAAATGTGCAAAAAGTGAAGAAATGGATGTCTGTGTTTGAGTCAGAATTACAGAGGGGGGGTGTCTGACTCTCTGAGGGAGGCGTTGTAGAGTTTGATGACCACAGGCAGGAATGATTTCCTGTGGCGCTCTGTGGTGCATCTGGGTGAGAGGAGTCTTCTGCTGAAGGTGCTCCTCTGCTGGGCCAGTGTGTCGTAGAGAGGGTGAGAGACATTGTCCAAGATGGACTGAAGCCTGGACAGCATCCTCCTCTCTGCCACGGTCGTCAGGGTGTCCAGCTCCTCCTCTACGACATCAAATATGATTTTATAAAACTTACTGACAAACCAAAATTTAACATGGATATACATTTATTAGTATTTTATTACAACTCTCAGGGTGTTTATCAGTGTTAATAGTATATTAACTAACTTCTATTTGTTCAGTTGAATTGAATAAGAAGCAGTCTCCACACAGCTGATTTTATTTCACATGAAAACAAATTTACAGCAGTTTTACACAAAGTTTCACCATTGAGACATTTACAACAAATACGAACCAGTGATTTTAAAAAGGAAAAACAGCTGAATATTTCAAACCTTTTGGCATTTATTTTGAAAAATCGACACCAGATTCAGCTGATCAATTTATTTATTATTTATTTCTTTATTTGAATAATGATTTAAATATTTATCAATCACAACTTAATCTAAATCTACATTTATTTTAATACATAGAACTTCTTTCATTTTTACATCTTTATACAAATAAAAAGTGTTTTGTTTTCTCTGTAGGTGACCAATCAGCTTTCAGTATTTAAACTATTATTTTAAACAGGATCATGAGCTCATGCTGTCATGCTGGGACAGGAAGTGACATTTCCATGGTGACACACGATCACCACAACATTTTATTTGAAGGCAGGAAGTGACATCAGGAAGTGACTTTCAGAGTCAACAGATAAGTCCGACCTGAGGCGATGGGTCTAGGCTAACAGTTTCCCCCTGCTTCCAGTCTTTGTGCTAAGCTAGGCTAAACTTTCTACGATTGCTAGGTGGTTGTCAGGCTTCCTGTTGGTTGCTATGTAGTTTAGGGAGACTAGGTCAGTTAAAGGTGGTTGCTATGGTGGTTGCTATGGTGTTCCTGATAGTGCCACTTTCTGTCTGACGTTGTTTTTATTTATATTCGGAGGTTTCGTACTCGCGTCGTTCTCTGGTTTTATTATTTTGGTGTTTTTCTGACCACCAACCAGCCGTCACATTCAGCCGTCATGACAAAACAAATATCCACCGTATTTCTCTCTTCTCTTGTTGTCATGGCGGCAGAAATAATCGGCGGCACTCCGCAGAGATGCATCAGTGGATGACGTACAGGAAGTGATGCGGCTCTAGCTGGTCTTCCCGTCCAGCAGCAGCAGCCTCAGTACAGTCCGGGCCGCAGCCAGCAGCGCTCCGTGCAGCGCGTACTGCATCGCCAGCGCTCCAAAGCCGCGGTAAAACCCGCCCACGCCCTCCTTACGGCGGATGGCGTGGAGACAGTCGGAGAAGCCGTCGTATTGTGTGTTGACGGGCAGAACCAGCGGGCTTCCGCCGTTCCCCACGGCGACCACGCCGTCAGTGGCATCGATGATGGTGCGCGTGCCCTGTAGGCCGAGGCGGTGCAGCACCGTCTCCAGAGGAAACAGAACGATGTCGGCCACCAGAGACCCCGCCCACGCCGCCGCCAGCTCGGGGAAGTAGGCATCCAGTGGGTTGCTAGGGTCCACCCGCTGCTTCCTGCCCCTCTGGTGCAGCCACAGCGCAGCCCGCTGAACGGAGGCGGCGATGGCGTATCGCAGGACGGCGTGCAGTGCCGCAGGAAGCAGCATAGAGCTGAGAGGAAGCAGACGGCGACTGTGAGGAGCACCGACGCCCAACAACCGGGTCAGACCTTCACGGACGCAATCCAGCAGGCCGGAGGACGCGTCGTCACGGACGATCTCACTCTGTGGAGACACGACAGGAAGTTCAGACA